GCCTGCCATCCATGCCCTGCCATCCATGCCCTGCCATCCATGCCCTGCCATCCATGCCCTGCCATCCATCGCCCTGCCATCCATGCCCTGCCATCCATGCCCTGCCATCCATGCCCTGCCATCCATGCCCTGCCATCCATGCCCTGCCATCCATGCCCTGCCATCCATGCCCTGCCATCCATGCCCTGCCATCCATGCCCTGCCATCCATGCCCTGCCATCCATGCCCTGCCATCCATGCCCTGTCATCCATGCCCTGCCATCCATGCCCTGCCATCCATGCCCTGCCATCCATGCCCTGCCATCCATGCCCTGCCATCCATGCCCTGCCATCCATGCCCTGCCATCCATGCCCTGCCATCCATGCCCTGCCATCCATGCCCTGCCATCCATGCCCTGCCATCCATGCCCTGCCATCCATGCCCTGCCATCCATGCCCTGCCATCCATGCCCTGCCATCCATGCCCTGCCATCCATGCCCTGCCATCCATGCCCTGCCATCCATGCCCTGCCATCCATGCCCTGCCATGCCATGCCCTGCCATGCATGCCCTGCCATCCATGCCCTGCCATCCATGCCCTGCCATCCATGCCCTGCCATCCATGCCCTGCCATCCATGCCCTGCCATCCATGCCCTGCCATCCATGCCCTGCCATCCATGCCCTGCCATCCATGCCCTGCCATCCATGCCCTGCCATCCATGCCCTGCCATCCATGCCCTGCCATCCATGCCCTGCCATCCATGCCCTGCCATCCATGCCCTGCCATCCATGCCCTGCCATCCATGCCCTGCCATCCATGCCCTGCCATCCATGCCCTGCCATCCATGCCCTGCCATCCATGCCCTGCCATCCATGCCCTGCCATCCATGCCCTGCCATCCATGCCCTGCCATCCATGCCCTGCCATCCATGCCCTGCCATCCATGCCCTGCCATCCATGCCCTGCCATCCATGCCCTGCCATCCATGCCCTGCCATCCATGCCCTGCCATCCATGCCCTGCCATCCATGCCCTGCCATCCATGCCCTGCCATCCATGCCCTGCCATCCATGCCCTGCCATCCATGCCCTGCCATCCATGCCCTGCCATCCATGCCCTGCCATCCATGCCCTGCCATCCATGCCCTGCCATCCATGCCCTGCCATCCATGCCCTGCCATCCATGCCTGCCATCCATGCCCTGCCATCCCTGCCCTGCCATCCATGCCCTGCCATCCATGCCCTGCCATCCATGCCCTGCCATCCATGCCCTGCCATCCATGCCCTGCCATCCATGCCCTGCCATCCATGCCCTGCCATCCATGCCTGCCATCCATGCCCTGCCATCCATGCCCTGCCATCCATGCCCTGCCATCCATGCCCTGCCAATCCATGCCCCTGCCATCCATGCCCTCTGCCATCCATGCGCCCTGCCATCCATGCCTGCCATCCATGCCCTGCCATCCATGCCCTGCCATCATGCCCTCGCCATCCATGCCCTGCCATCCATGCCCTGCCATCCATGCCCTGCCATCCATGCCCTGCCATCCATGCCCCTGCCATCCATGCCCTGCCATCCATGCCCTGCCATCCATGCCCTGCCATCACTGCCCTGCCATCCATGCCCTGCCATCCATGCCCCTGCCATCCATGCCCTGCCATCCATGCCCTGCCATCCATATGTGCCCTGCCATCCATGCCCTGCCATCCATGCCCTGCCATCCATGCCATGCCCTGCCATCCATGCCCTGCCATGCCCTGCCATCCATGCCCTGCCATCCATGCCCTGCCATCCATGCCCTGCCATCCATGCCCTGCCATCCATGCCCTGCCATCCATGCCCTGCCATCCATGCCCTGCCATCCATGGCCCTGCCATCCATGCCCTGCCATCCATGCCCTGCCATCCATGCCCTGCCATCCATGCCCTGCCATCCATGCCCTGCCATCCATGCCCTGCCATCCATGCCCTGCCATCCATGCCCTGCCATCCATGCCCTGCCATCCATGCCCTGCCATCCATGCCCTGCCATCCATAGCCCTGCCATCCATGCCCTGCCATCCATGCCCTGCCATCCATGCCCTGCCATCCATGCCCTGCCATCCATGCCCTGCCATCCATGCCCTGCCATCCATGCCCTGCATCCATGCCCTGCCATCCATGCCCTGCCATCCATGCCCTGCCATCCATGCCCTGCCATCCATGCCCTGCCATCCATGCCCTGCCATCCATGCCCTGCCATCCATGCCCTGCCATCCATGCCCTGCCATCCATGCCCTGCCATCCATGCCCTGCCATCCATGCCCTGCCATCCATGCCCTGCCATCCATGCCCTGCCATCCATGCCCTGCCATCCATGCCCTGCCATCCATGCCCTGCCATCCATGCCCTGCCATCCATGCCCTGCCATCCATGCCCTGCCATCCATGCCCTGCCATCCATGCCCTGCCATCCATGCCCTGCCATCCATGCCCTGCCATGCCATGCCCTGCCATGCCATGCCCTGCCATCCATGCCCTGCCATGCCATGCCCTGCCATGCCATGCCCTGCCATCCATGCCCTGCCATGCCATGCCCTGCCATGCCATGCCCTGCCATCCATGCCCTGCCATGCCATGCCCTGCCATGCCATGCCCTGCCATCCATGCCCTGCCATGCCATGCCCTGCCATCCATGCCCTGCCATGCCATGCCCTGCCATCCATGCCATGCCATGCCCTGCCATCCATGCCCTGCCATGCCATGCCCTGCCATCCATGCCCTGCCATGCCATGCCCTGCCATCCATGCCATGCCATGCCCTGCCATGCCATGCCATGCCATGCCATGCCCTGCCATGCCATGCCATGCCATGCCATGCCCTGCCATGCCATGCCATGCCATGCCCTGCCATCCATGCCCTGCCATCCATGCCCTGCCATCCATGCCCTGCCATCCATGCCATGCCATGCCCTGCCACGCCATGCCATGCCACGCCATGCCATGCCATGCCATGCCATGCCATGCCATGCCACGCCATGCCATGCCCTGCCATCCATGCCCTGCCATGCCATGCCCTGCCATCCATGCCCTGCCATGCCATGCCCTGCCATCCATGCCATGCCATGCCCTGCCATCCATGCCCTGCCATGCCATGCCCTGCCATCCATGCCCTGCCATGCCATGCCCTGCCATCCATGCCATGCCATGCCCTGCCATCCATGCCCTGCCATGCCATGCCCTGCCATCCATGCCATGCCATGCCCTGCCATCCATGCCCTGCCATGCCATGCCCTGCCATCCATGCCCTGCCATGCCATGCCCTGCCATCCATGCCATGCCATGCCCTGCCATCCATGCCCTGCCATGCCATGCCCTGCCATCCATGCCATGCCATGCCCTGCCATCCATGCCATGCCATGCCATGCCCTGCCATCCATGCCCTGCCATCCATGCCCTGCCATCCATGCCATGCCATGCCATGCCCTGCCATCCATGCCCTGCCATCCATGCCATGCCATGCCATGCCCTGCCATCCATGCCCTGCCATCCATGCCCTGCCATCCATGCCCTGCCATCCATGCCCTGCCATCCATGCCCTGCCATCCATGCCCTGCCATCCATGCCCTGCCATCCATGCCCTGCCATCCATGCCCTGCCATCCATGCCCTGCCATCCATGCCCTGCCATCCATGCCATGCCATGCCATGCCATGCCCTGCCATCCATGCCCTGCCATCCATGCCATGCCATGCCATGCCCTGCCATCCATGCCCTGCCATCCATGCCCTGCCATCCATGCCCTGCCATCCATGCCCTGCCATCCATGCCCTGCCATCCATGCCCTGCCATCCATGCCCTGCCATCCATGCCCTGCCATCCATGCCATGCCATGCCCTGCCACGCCATGCCATGCCACGCCATGCCATGCCATGCCATGCCATGCCATGCCATGCCATGCCACGCCATGCCATGCCATGCCATGCCATGCCCTGCCATGCCATGCCACGCCATGCCATGCCATGCCATGCCATGCCATGCCACGCCATGCCATGCCATGCCATGCCATGCCCTGCCATGCCATGCCATGCCATGCCATGCCCTGCCATGCCATGCCATGCCATGCCATGCCCTGCCATGCCATGCCATGCCATGCCATGCCCTGCCATGCCATGCCATGCCCTGCCATGCCATGCCATGCCATGCCATGCCATGCCATGCCATGCCCTGCCATGCCATGCCACGCCATGCCATGCCACGCCATGCCATGCCATGCCATGCCATGCCATGCCACGCCATGCCATGCCATGCCATGCCCTGCCATGCCATGCCACGCCATGCCATGCCATGCCATGCCATGCCATGCCACGCCATGCCATGCCATGCCATGCCATGCCCTGCCATGCCATGCCATGCCATGCCATGCCCTGCCATGCCATGCCATGCCATGCCACGCCATGCCATGCCATGCCATGCCATGCCATGCCACGCCATGCCATGCCATGCCATGCCATGCCCTGCCACGCCATGCCATGCCATGCCATGCCCTGCCATGCCATGCCATGCCATGCCCTGCCATGCCATGCCATGCCATGCCATGCCACGCCATGCCATGCCACGCCATGCCATGCCACGCCATGCCATGCCACGCCATGCCATGCCATGCCATGCCATGCCACGCCATGCCATGGCACATACCGACCCATGCTGCCCGTTAGTGAAGCAAAAGCCAGCGACATCCTGCTGTCCCTCGTAGTACTCCGCCCACGCTCCCCCCATGCGATACCCTCCCATGCCACATACTGCCATGCAATGCCATGGCACATACCGACCCATGCACAACCCATGCCACATACCGACCCATGCACAACCCATGCCACATACCGACCCATGCTGCCCGTCAGTGAAGCAGAAGCCAGCAACATCTTGCTGCCCTCCATAGTACTCCGCCCACGCCTTTCTGTCCCCTGCTGTCACCATGTCCTCGCGGTTCAACACCAGCACCTTGGGCTTGCCGCCTATCCACTCGTCCAGCTGCAATCACATTCAGGTGATGGGAGAAAAAGGAGGATTGGGATAAGGAGTCCAACCTCCGTAGTACTTTGCCCACGCCTTTCTGTCCCCCGCTGTCACCATGTCCTCGCGGTTCAACACCAGCACATTGGGCTTGCCGCCTATCCACTCGTCCAGCTGCAATCATATTCAGGCGATGGAAGGAAGGGGCAGGAGTGAGAAGAAAGGGTCTGGTCTGCCCCCCATGGGATGGCACTACTCCGCCCACGCCCGCCTACCCCTCTCCTGCTGCTGTCGCCATGTCCCCGCAGTTCAACACCAGCACCTTGGGCTGAATCTGTTTTTTTGAGAATTCTGAACCTGTTTTTTTGAAAATTCTGAATCTGCTTTTTCGAGAATTCCCCAAAAGCAGTTCAGCACCAGCACCTTGGGATTGCTGATCCAGTCGTCCAGCTGCAAACAATCTACAGCGAATGGGGGTTACGGGGAGAATGGGGAATAAGAGTCTTTCTCCCATAGTACTCCGCCCACGCCCGCCCGTCCCCCGCTGTCACCATGTCCCTGGTCATTCACCGCAGTTGCTGCTACTGGTCAGGTCACCACGCCAACTCACCTGGGCTGGGGGTGCCTGCATGGTCGCCAGTTGATAAGGCTTCAGCAACAGACTCACCTGAGGGTGCGCGCGTGCGTGCGTGCTAGCGAGTAGGAAGCCCGCTTCAGAAACAGACTAACCTGCGGTGCGGGTGCATGGTGGCTTGCTTGCAGTGTTCCAGCGTCCCGCACTTGAATCACCACGTGCACCCACCGCAGCTGCTGCTGCTACTTGTGACCGTGACATTGCTCTCAAACTAAGAAAACGGGTAGAAAGCTGCAAGCTCAGTTCGACCGACCTGACTAATCCGAGAGGTACTAAAAACACTGAGTACTAGGTGAGAACACGTGTAGGTAAGCGTAGTAGTATTAATCGGTACTTGTGCTATTAATCGTAGTAGATTACAATTGGTTCAGAGAACGTGCTACTTGTGACCGTGACATTGTGGTGTGTTGTCGCACGCGGAAACCACGCCAACTCACCTGAGCAGGTGCCTCATAAGGCCTCAGAAAAAGACGCACACCTGGGGGTGCGTGGTGGCTTGTGGCATTCTAACGTCATTCTAACGTGGTGGCTTGTGGCATCCCGCACTTCAATCACCACGTGCACCCACCGCAGCTGCAGCCAGTTGTAACCATGAGGTTACGTGGTGCAGTGAATGTAAAACACAGCAACCACGAGTCACGCCAGCTCACCTGCGGGTGTGTGGTGGCGAGCGGTATTCTAGCGTCGCGCACCTCTATCACCACGTCCACCCACCGCAGCTGCTGCTGCTACTTGTGACAATGAGGTTGGGGTGTGCTAGAGCAGGGCACCACAACCACGCCAGCTCAACTGCGGGTGCGTGGAGGCGAGCGGTATTCTGGCGTCGCGCACCTCAATCACCACGTCCACCCACCGCAGCTGCTGTCAGTTAAAGCCATGAGATCGTGTGTGTGGTGCGACAGTGCGATGAAACACAGCAACCACGCCAACTCACCTGCGGGTGCGTGGAGGCGAGCGGTATTCTGGCGTCGCGCACTTCAATCACCACGTCAACCCACCGCAACTGCTCCTTCAGGTCCCTCTCCGCTTTGGCTATGTGCCCTGGGTACCACTGCCATGGGGGGGGGAGGGAGGGGAGAGTATGGAGGGGTGAAAGGGGATTGGCACGCTAAGGGAACAAGTTCTGAGTGTCTCAGAAATCGCTTCAGGTCCCTCTCCGCCTTGGCTATGTGCCCCGGGTATCACTGCAACGGGATGTGATGGTATGGAGGCGGAAGGGTGGGAGGGCGGAGGGGTTGGGTCACGCAGGGAACAACTTGAGGCATCCGTAACGTTGTTCCATAAGCGACTTGAAGTCGTTTCAGTTCCCTCTCCGCCTTGACTATATGCCCTGGATACCGCTGCCACGGGGAGGGGAGGGAGGGGGGCCGGGGTGGGTTACGGAGGGGGAGTGGGGGGAGATGAGAGGAATGGAAAAGGTCCTAATACGCCATGCTGTCAGTAACGGACAGGTGGGCTGCGGGGGTCTTAGAATGGTGGATAAGGCCCTTCTCTGTCATGGATACGTGCCCCGGGTACCGCTGCCATGGGGTGTGGGGGCATGGAGAGGGAAGAACGGGGGGAAGTGTGGGTGGGTAAATGGGGGAAGGGGGGGGGAAGGACGGGAGGCGTAACTAAAGGGAGGGGCAGGTATGGGGGAAGGGGACTGGGGAACGACACGGAGGCGAGAGCAGCAGGGCTGGGAGAGCACAAAGAGCGGGGAAATCCCGAGGCAAAAGTGATCTGGCTTTTGAGAATTCTCAAAAGTCGCACCAATATGACTGGGGAATGACACGGAGGCGAGAGCAGCGGGGCGGGGAGAGCACAAAGAGGGGGAAAACCCCGAGGCAGAAGTGATCTGGCGGGAGAAAGCCAGACGGGAGGCAATACGGCAGGAGACGCAGGTGGAGAGGGGGGAGGAAGCAGGGAAAGCATGGTGGCATGCGGTTGGTTTGGGTATTGGCATTCACACCCGCATGAACATAGAGGTGCACGAAGCTTCGTAGAGGAAGGAGCGTACGGATGAATTTTACGACAGAGTCCTAAACCTCGCGTTCCTAATGGCGACTACAGGGTATAGGGTTTCAGGTCTCAGGTTAGAAGTACAGGGTTTAAGAAATAAGGTAAAAGGTTCGAGGTTTTGGCTTTGAGTGCTTATAGGCGGAAGTACAAAGAAATCCGTGCGGCATGCGGGAATCACTTGACGCTCCAACATTCACAGATCCTAAGTTCTAAATCCCCCCTCCATGCAAACACTTATCCCCTCCGTCCCCCCCTGCCTTGCTCCCCCCTTCTTTCCCACCTCTCCCCCTCGAGCATCCAATCCCCCTCGAGCATCCCCACTTCTGCTACACCGGCTTCCTAGAAGTCAGAAACATGTGGATATTTATCCGCTTCTAAGGGGGTTTGTGTTTTTGAGGCGCCTCAAAAGTAGAAGTCAGAAACCTGTGGATATTTATCCGCTTCTAAGGGGGTTCATGCCGCTGGTTGTACCTGCACTAGCCGAACCGTCCTAGTCAGGAAGTCCATGTCAGCTGCCACGTCAGCCCATCGCTGCTGCTGCTGATCCAATAACAGCCTATCTGAAGAGCCCATGTCAGCAGCGCCGCTACGCTCTTTCGCCATTCCCCGTCCCCTCCGCTCGTCCCGTCCATCCTTCACTCCTGAATCAAAAGCTTCCGCGTGTCTTCCGCTTCTACTTTGCGCGGATTGCGCGCCAGAAGCTGCGCGCGTGGCTCCGCGGAGGCGGAGCAAGTCTGGCGCAGGCGGAACGGGGGTGGCGGAAGAGGTGGGAGCCGAGCTGGGCGACGGCACTGAAACAGACACGCGGGATTCGCTGAACCTGGACGCGAGATTGCGTGACGCAAGACTAACGAAGCATTGCGAAGAAGTGCGGTAACATGGGCCAAGCGAGGAAACTTCGAGTGTCCTTATAGATACCGCCTGCTGACTACTAAAGCTGACTGCCATGGCTTGCTGAAATCGTAAGCGACTCTTTTTGGTGCTCTGATGTGCTTATTGCCCTGGACTCAGCTTTAGGCGAAAGGAGTTACCGATTTGTAACATGAAGTTCTCAATGCACACAATAACCCTATCTAGAACTTCCTAATTTGGAGTAACATGATAGTGAAGGGGGCAATAGCGAACAGTGCTTTGTGTGGGGTTCGGATGGAATGTCAAGAAATTCAGCGCGAGGTACATCTGTACCTTTTGCCACGTCACGGAGCTGGCAATGGCATTATGACGTGTTTGGCCTCGGGATTGACGGAAGCAACGGCTCTCGACTGAGCGGCCAACTTTTTTTCAATGGACCCCAAGACCTGAATTGCTCAGTGGAAGTCAGCACTAAAAACTAGGTTCGGAAGGCAGGCACACAGAGGTTTGGTTGGATTGCGAGACACTTTCACTCGCGAAACCAATTTGCGACAAAAGTTTCTCGCTTCTCATTTTGGGTGGGGTGCATGCCAAAGTGTGCACAAAGTGTGCACAGTTTGAGATAGCACGCTGAGTATTAAGCATAAAGCATACCTGTAGACAGGGCGTGGGCGTTCACTCGAGAGAAATCGGAGGCGCCTTACGAATGTGAGTGGCGCTGATTTCGATGATGACGAGCCAGCGATAGTGTCCTAGCATGACCTGTATTACAGCTATGTTCAAACTGTCAACAGCCCAGCCGTATTCCCTTGGGGAGGGAGCGGTTGGGACTCTCGCCAACCAAACCTGTGCTGCTGTACGACTCCCTGCTTTTTTTTGCGGGGTGTCTTTTGGTAACCAGAGAGGCTCGGGAAGTCAACTGTGGGCTCGGGAAGTCTTTTTTTTTTTTTTTTGTAATTCAGGTATTGGGCCTTAACAGACCGAGGTGAACTGAAATCGTTCCGTTTCGTAACAGCCGAGCCTGTGTCATGAAAGTTCACTTTCTGTCAGGTTAGTCGAGAACAGAGTACGATGCTGAATCCAGAACGGCTCATTCGTCACCAGCTTACATGGTACACACACTTTTTATGACACACCTGCGCGCGTTTCACTCTGGGGGCCGTTCACTTGCGTGCCGAGCCCCATGCCTTCACAATTCACGCCCCTCTGATGTTACCAAGTGCTACATTAGTAATCAGGCCAACCTCACATATTGCTGCTGTTAGGCATAATCGGCCGTGGTCTTTTGCTGCGTGAAGGCTCCCGCCGACAATGCCGCGTCCTCGTGAGATGACATCGCACGGTTAAGGTCGCACAGCGCCATGTCGCACCTGTCGCACGGCAGGGCTGGCCGACGAGGCCCGCACGAAATCTGTCGTGCCCTCCGAGCCCGCTACAGCTGCGCGTCGCGACAGCAGGCAGCCACAGAGCCTCCTACAGCTGGCAGGACTGACCGTGGGCTACACACGCGAACCATCCAAGCTATTTCCTGCTCGGCAAATTCCACGCACGCTTCCTCTTCCTCACCCGTTCACGCGAGCCTTCTATCCGCTCTCTCAACCCACCGCAATGTTTGCGCTCGTATTGCGAGCAGGATCGTCCGTCAGAATGGCCGGTCGCGCCGTTTCGCCGCCGGTAACTTCGACCAGCCTCGTCTGTCGGCTGCCGTCAGCCAGCCGGCCAGCTACCGGCCATGTGAGGGGGTGCCTTGGGAGCGAAAGGTAGCACCTGCAGCGACTGTGCTAGTTGCCAGCTCATTCGTCAATCCCTTCGTCAGTACCTTCGCAGGTTCTTTCGCCAGTGCCTTCGCGAGCCCTTTCGCGAGCACGTTCGCGCGTCAGGGCGGAGCTCGCGGGGGTGTCGAGTGACACAGACTTGCAGGAGGTGTCGGAGACGCTCGCTATAGTGTCACTCGTTAAGGCGTTCAGAGACAGAGGCCACTACGTAGCACAGCTAGGTACGAACGAGCGGGAACAGATGAAACAATGGGAACACTTCATTACTGGCCATACCCACCTATTTGCCTCCTGTCAAGCAAGACTGGCCCATTTTCTCCCCTTTTCAAAATTCCTCCTTCTACCATGCATGTCCATTCTCTCACGCTCACCTCCCACACCCCCATATGCCAATCCACGGACCCCTGGCAGACCCTTTGGGCCGTCACTTAGGCCCCCTCAAGGACAACGCCCAGCCGCCCGCTGCGGCTGCGGCTGCAGCTGCGGCAGCTGCTGACAATTCCTCGTTCACTACCCCAGGCAGCAAGGGCAAGGCGTGGGCGTTAGCTGGGCTGAGCAGGATATCGCAGGTCACAGGTGCTGGCAGGAAGGGCACCAGTGCTGGTGGCGGCAGTGGCGTCTCGTCTCTGCCCGAACCTGAGAACGCGCCGGACCTGTTTCGCCTGCTTCGGAACTACCCGGAGCTGGACCTCGGCGCTGTTGGTCTGGCAGGCATTGATGTGAAAAAGAGGTACGGTACCCAATGTGCCATAAGGATTCGAGAGTGCTCTAAGAAAGAGCATATCTTTAGGAGTAACATGTGCAACACAAATTATAGGCCTGCTGCTGCATGGGTACATATATTGGAAGCAACATGCCCATGAAATGGCATCATTCTCAGCATGCAATCTGAGGATCGTGCGGGCGGCACAGCTGTTCTCATCGCCCTGTTTCTCTTCCCCCTTGCTCCCGACCGACCCATCCATGGCAGGTATTTCCTGGGAGAGCAGCTGCGCATCGTGAGGGCAGCGCAGCTGTTCTGGACGGTGGAGGAGGTGGTGGGGCTGCTGCGCAACGCGTACTGCCGCACGAGCACAGTGGAGTGCGCGCACCTGGCGAGCAGGCAGCAGAAGCGGTGGGTGCAGGCTGCCATGGAACGGCCTCCCTTGCGCCAACTCTTCTCACCAACCCAGCAGCGCCACCTGCTGCACCGCCTGCTGTATGCCGGTGAGTAGTGCGGCTTGCGGGTGAGCAAGCACTGGGGTGGTTGGGTGAGAGGTGAGGTGGGAAGAGATTTCTTTTCGTAAGGCATCGGTTTGGCATCGGTTTGGCATCGGTTTGGCATCGGTTTGGCATCGGTTTGGCATCGAGAACGGGCAGGCAGTGATCCCGCTCCCACCACGTCCTGTATCACATCCTCCTTACCCTATCTTCTCCCCATCCACCCCCGCTCATGCCTTCCCACCCCCATCCATCCCTGCCCACCGACCCCCAAACCCCCCCTGCCCTCCCACCCCACCCCTGCCCATCTACGCCCACCCCTGCCCATCTACGCCCACCCCTGCTCCCCTTTCCACACAGACGCCTTTGAGCGGTTTCTCGCGCGCAAGTTTCCTTCAGTGAAGCGGTTTGGCATAGAGGGCGGGGAGGCGCTGGTGCCGGGGCTGCTGGCTCTGCTGGGGCGGGCTGCTGGCAGCGGCGTGAAGTTTGTCGAGCTGGGCATGGCGCACAGGTGGGTGGGGTGGGGCTAGACATGAGCACAAGGGCGAACACCTGTTCGAGGCGAACCGAACAGGTTTGTTTTTTTTGCTTAAATTGTTCGCCGAACAGTGTTCGATGTTCGCCCGAACACGTTCGTGTTCGGGCCGCTGCTGCAATTTGCCCCGCGACGAACACGAACGTGTTCGATGTTCGCCCGAACATGCCTTCACAGGCGAACGGCGAACACGTGTTTTTGCTTAAAGTGTTCGCCGAACCGAACAGTGTTCGGTTCGGCAAACGGATGTGTTCGTCTAGGGGCGAACACGAACATGTTCGTGTTCGCCCCTTGCTCATCCCTAGGTGGGGCGCACAGGTGGGTGGGGCTCACAGGTGGGTGGGGCGCTCAAGTGGGTATGGCGCATAGGTGTGTGGGGCACGTGGCATTGGGGGAGGAGGAGGGGGAAGGGTTCCATGGGAGGGAAGTGTAGAGGTAATTGGGTCGCGGGGAGGATGTATCGGAGCCATCACTACATGGTATCGGTGGGCTGCATCAGGCAGTCATGGCTCATGCGATTCTCCCTTGTTGACTTTCCCCCCTTCCCCACGCATGCAATGACCATATGTATGTATGATCTCCAACAAACTGCCATGCTGTAAGCGTTTTTTGAGATGTTGAAGAAAATCTTGGAGACCCAGTGATCCAGTCTACTCGTGCCGTACCCAGCCCTGCCCTCACTCACTCACTCCCCTTGTCCTTCACCTTCCCCCTCCCCGCTTTCCCCACTTCCCCCCTTCGCCCCCTTCTACTTCCACCCACCCACATTCCAAAAGAGGTCGACTGAGTGTGCTGCACGCGGTCCTGGGAAAGCCCCTGACCTCCATCTTGTCTGAGTTCAAACCACCTGAAGTTTCACCTGAACTCTCGGAGCTGCTGCAAGTGGGCGACGTCAAGTACCACCTGGTATGCGCCTCCAGGTGCTTGCCACCCATTTCTTGTCTTCTGGTTTTGTTTTGTTTTGTTTGTTTTTTGTTTTTTGTTTTTTTGTTGCCTTTCTTTTTCCTTTGCACCTCGTCCAATCACATCTGCATAAGCTGGCATGCAACATTGTGTTTGCCGTTCTTCATAGTTTCCTTACACTTTGCTTGTGTGATGCGGCATTGTGGAAAATGGCTTTGTGTGCATTGGCATTATGTGAAACTGCATTGTCTGACATGGCATGGCATTGTCCCACATGACATTGTTATCATGCCATGGTGTTTCTTGCATATGCATTCTGCGGCATCACATCACATCACTTCACATCACATCGAATCACATCACATCACATCACATCGCATCACATCACATCACATCACATCACATCACATCGCATCGCATCGCATCGCATCCCACCGCATCGCATCGCATCACATCACATGGCAGGGTACCCGTTCTACACTCGAGTTTGAAAGCAACCAGGTGAGTACAGTTTCTCTGAAGCCAGATGTCCTCACGGCCTTTCCCCCCTTCCTCCCCCCACCACACCACACCACACCACAGTGCAGCGCAACACAGCACAGCACAGCACAGCACAGCACAGCACAGCACAGCACAGCACAGTACAGGACACCACAGCACAGCACGAAACATACTCCTCTGACTCTTGCCCTTGCTCCCTAACCTGTCGCCTCTGCTCTCCATCTGCCTCGAATTTCTCACTCTTCTAGCACCCCTGTTGCACGCTCGCATGTGCTGTGTCCCGGTGTTCCCCCTTGGTCTCCTGTCGACCTTGGTTTCCTGTTGACCTTGGTCTCCTGTCGACCTTGGTCTCCTGTCGACCTTGGTCTCCTGTCGACCTTGGTCTCCTGTCGACCTTGGTCTCCTGTCGACCTTGGTCTCCTGTCGACCTTGGTCTCCTGTCGACCTTGGTCTCCTGTCGACCTTGGTCTCCTGTCGACCTTGGTCTCCTGTCGACCTTGGTCTCCTGTCGACCTTGGTCTCCTGTCGACCTTGGTCTCCTGTCGACCTTGGTCTCCTGTCGACCTTGGTCTCCTGTCGACCTTGGTCTCCTGTCGACCTTGGTCTCCTGTCGACCTTGGTCTCCTGTCGACCTTGGTCTCCTGTCGACCTTGGTCTCCTGTCGACCTTGGTCTCCTGTCGACCTTGGTCTCCTGTCGACCTTGGTCTCCTGTCGACCTTGGTCTCCTGTCGACCTTGGTCTCCTGTCGACCTTGGTCTCCTGTCGACCTTGGTCTCCTGTCGACCTTGGTCTCCTGTCGACCTTGGTCTCCTGTCGACCTTGGTCTCCTGTCGACCTTGGTCTCCTGTCGACCTTGGTCTCCTGTCGACCTTGGTCTCCTGTCGACCTTGGTCTCCTGTCGACCTTGGTCTCCTGTCGACCTTGGTCTCCTGTCGACCTTGGTTTCCTGTTGACCTTGGTTTCCTGTTGACCTTGGTTTCCTGTTGACCTTGGTTTCCTGTTGACCTTGGTTTCCTGTTGACCTTGGTTTCCTGTTGACCTTGGTTTCCTGTTGACCTTGGTTTCCTGTTGACCTTGGTTTCCTGTCGACCTTGGTTTCCTGTTGACCTTGGTTTCCTGTTGACCTTGGTTTCCTGTTGACCTTGGTTTCCTGTTGACCTTGGTTTCCTGTTGACCTTGGTTTCCTGTTGACCTTGGTTTCCTGTTGACCTTGGTTTCCTGTTGACCTTGTTCCTGTTGACCTTGGTTTCCTGTTGACCTTGGTTTCCTGTTGACCTTGGTTTCCTGTTGACCTTGGTTTCCTGTTGACCTTGGTTTCCTGTTGACCTTGTTGTTCTGTTGACCTTGGTTTCCTGTTGACCTTGGTTTCCTGTTGACCTTGGTTTCCTGTTGACCTTGGTTTCCTGTTGACCTTGGTTTCCTGTTGACCTTGGTTTCCTGTTGACCTTGGTTTTCCTGTTTGACCTTGGTTTCCTGTTGACCTTGGTTTCCTGTTGACCTTGGTTTCCTGTTGACCTTGGTTTCCTGTTGACCTTGGTTTTCCTGTTGACCTTGGTTTTCCTGTTGACCTTGGTTTCCTGTTGACCTTGGTTTCCTGTTGACCTTGGTTTCCTGTTGACCTTGGTTTCCTGTTGACCTTGGTTTCCTGTTGACCTTGGTTTCCTGTTGACCTTGGTTTCCTGTTGACCTTGGTTTCCTGTTGACCTTGGTTTGCCTTGTTCCTGTTGACCTTGGTTTCCTGTTGACCTTGGTTTCCTGTTGACCTTGGTTTCCTGTTGACCTTGGTTTCCTGTTGACCTTGGTTTCCTGTTGACCTTGGTTTCCTGTTGACCTTGGTTTCCTGTTGATCATCATTGCACCATGTAAGCCATTTGGAGCAAGGGGACTGGCGGTTCAGATTAAAGGCCCACTCCAACTTGTTGTTCCGCCATGTCTCACCATGCTCTCACCAGCACAGGTGCAAGTGTCCCTACTTCCCAACCCCAGCCATCTGGAGCTCGTGGACCTGGTCGTGGTGGGGAAGGCTAGAGGAAAGGATAAACTCAACTCAAACTCCTCATTCCCCGTTCCACCTCGCCATGTCTCACCATACTCTAACCAGCACAGGTGCAAGTGTCCCTACTGCCCAACCCCAGCCATCTGGAGCTGGTAGACCCGGTCGTGGTGGGCAAGGCAGGCAGATTCACTCAACTCATGCTCCACCCTCACTCCCTGCTCCACGTTGCCTTGCCATGATTCCATGGCATGCTCCCCTGTCTGCCGTGTTCGCACCAGCGCAGGTGCAAGTGTCCCTACTGCCCAACCCCAGCCATCTGGAGCTGGTGGACCCGGTCGTGGTGGGCAAGGCTAGAGCCAAGCAGCTCTTCACCAACGACTCCTCCAGGCGCTCCGTCATGGTGTGTGCTGTGCGGTGCTATCCGGTGAGATGCGGTGCTGTGCCGGAAGCCAAATTCCCAGTGTGACGTGACGCCCACTGTGTTCTCTTATGGCTCTGTCACCATGTCACCACAAGCTCTGTTGTCTTGTGAGCCAAGCAACTCTTCACAAACAACACCTCCAGGTAGACATGAGCACAAGGGCGAACACCTGTTCGGTTCGCCTCGAACGTTTGTTTTTTTTTGCTTAAATTGTTCGCCGAACAGTGTTCGATGTTCGCCCGAACACGTTCGTGTTCGGGCCGCTGCTGCAATTTGCCCCGCGACGAACACTAACGTGTTCGATGTTCGCCCGAACATGCCTTCACAGGCAAACGGCGAACACGTGTTTTTGCTTAAAGTGTTCGCCGAACCGAACAGTGTTCGGTTCGGCAAACGGATGTGTTCGTCTAGGGGCGAACACGAACATGTTCGTGTTCGCCCCTTGCTCATCCCTACCTCCAGGCGATCCATTATGGTCTGTGCCTTGCCTTCTGCCTTATGTTCTCATACGCTTGGTGCTGCCTCGACTGGCCTTGGCCTGGCTTTGAATGAGAGCAGGACCCTTTTGTTCACCTTTCTTGATTGCATCTTCATGCACCTCGTTGCATCCCTCTGCACCTCCTTACATCCCTCTGCACCTCCTTGCATCATCCTCACCATGCCTGACTCCCCTTGCTCCCTGCCAGGGTCTCATTCTGCACGGAGATGCAGCCTTCAGTGGCCTTGGCCTCGCTCCTGAGGTGCTGCAGGTACGGCCGAACCTGCAGGTGAGCCTGTGCTGCAGGCACGGCAGTGCTGCAGGTATGGCAGTGCTGCAGGTATGGCAGTGCTGCAAGTATGGCAGTTTCTGCAGGTAGGGAATACCTGATGTGGTGGTTGAGGCAGGGAAGCACCCAATCCCTTATTTCACACAAAAACAATATTATTGTAATCAATGCTTTCCAGTATGCCCCCTCGACAGAGATTTTTTAGAATAAAAAAAAACGCCTTTTGATGCCGAACTGCATAAGGACACCAATCAGCTATCACAACCCCACCGCCTTTCCTTTCTCTCCCTCTCAACCGCTCTAAACCCCTCTCTTCACCCTAATGGAGCAGCTGTCGGACCTACCAGAGTACACAACGGGCGGCACGATCCACGTGATCATCAACAATCAGATCGGATTCACCACTGATCCGAAGCTTGCTCGCTCCTCCCCCCACCCCTCTGACTTCGCCAAGGTGAGGAGGGGAGGCGGCAGAGAAGCAGGGTTAGAGCTAACCGAGTAGTAAAAGAGAGTTTTTGCTGATTTTCTTACATGGAAAACAAGTCATGAAATGAAGGCATGGTGCGTGTGGAAACATATATGAAGGCGCCAGCGGCACGATCCACGTGATAATCAACAATCAGATCGGGCTCACCACCGACCGACCCCAAGCTCGCCCGCTCCTCCCCCCACCCCTCTGACTAAAGTGCGCGCACTCAGTAGACGGTAGGTGTCTACGCACAGCAAGGCGGGCAGCAGCATCGCGCGTGAGCCACTGCGAGCGAACAGCAGTGTCAGCATCAGCAACAGGGGCAGTAGAGGCACCAGACGTGAGATCGAACAGTGAGAGACCATCCTTGCTATCGCACTGTAGGAAAAGCTGCAGATCATCTAGCCAGACATCGAAGTCAACCGCTCGACCCTCAGCATCAAAGGTAAGAACACTGGGACTAGCCATGACAGGAGCAGCAGCAGGCTAGCAGCAGTAGCAGTGCAACTCGGCTAAGCGACGCGGCTAGGCAGGGCAGCGCGGCTCGGCAGGGCGGCTCGGCAGGGCTGCGCGGCTCGGCGGCGCGGCTCGGCAGGGCGGCTCGGCAGAGCGGTGCGGCTCGGCAGCGCGGCTCGGCCCGGCGATGCTCTTACCAGGGGCGAGGCCGGGGCAGGGCCGAGGGAGGGCCGGGGCAGGGCTGCGACAGGTCCGGGGCAGGGCTGCGACAGGTCCGGGGCAGGGCTGCGACAGGTCCGGGGCAGGGTCGGAGCAGGGCCGGGACAGGGCCGGGGCGAGGCCACGGCAGGTCCGGGACAGAGCCGCGACAGGGTCGGGGCAGGGTCGGGGAAGGGCCGGGGCAGGTCCGGGACAGGGCCGCTACGGGGCCGGGGAAGTGCCGGGGCAGGGCCGGGACAGGGCCGGGGCCGGGGCAGGTCCGGGACGGGGCCGCGACGGGGCCGGGGCAGGGTCGGGGCCGGGCCGCGACAAGCGACGGGGGGAGGGCCAGGGCGGGGCCGCGACGGGGCCGCGACGGGGCCGTGACGGGACCGCGACGGGGCCGGGGCAGGGTCAGGGCCGGGCCGCGACAGGGTCCCAATGGGCGACGGGGCAGGGCCAGGGTCGCGTCGCGATGGGGCCGCGACTGGGCCACTTCGAGCGACGGGGAAGGGCCGGGGCGGGGTCGCAACGGGGCCTCTAAGGGGGGGGGGCGCCAAGGCAGAGAAGGCCACTAGGGGGCCGCAAAGGGGCCGCGTAGGGCAGAGCGCAAAGCGCGCTTCGGGCAGGTAGGTAAAAAAAAAAAAAAAAACTTTTAACGGTGGGCCCTTAGGAAGGAACGGTCCCAGTAGGGAACCCGCTCTATACCATGTGAGAAAATAGGAAATGACTTGGGTACAAATATGAAACCCTAGAAAACTGTACCCCATAGTGTCTACCCCACTACAGCCTAGACAGGCTATGTGATTAATGTTTGACAGGAAGAAGTCAACTCCCTCTCGCTGACTGAAGCCTCGAGCCACGTAACGAGCCTTGAAGACAGGTGGAGAACCTGGCGGCCGCTTCACCCTGAAAATCCACATGCCACTGACAATGTTCGCCCCAGGAGGGGGAACCTCGTCGACGTAGGTGCCTGTGGACTTCCAGGAAGCCATCTCTGCGTCCATGGCTGTCTGCCACTGAGAGGAGTACTCACCCGCGATTGCCTCAGCGTAAGAGCGCGGGGTAGGGATGTCTGGTGCATCCGGGTCTCCCTCAGGGGCAAGCAGCATGGCCACGAGATGAGGCGCAGCGGCTGCAAGACACTCAAGGTCCTCCTGCCTGTCCTCAAGGACGTTCGTGCCAAGAGCACACTCACCCCCGACGGACGGAGGACAGACAGACTCAGACTCAGCAACAAGACTGGCGGCGTTGTCGAGACGACAGGGAGCAGCAAAGTCAACAAGCTCAGCGACTAAGGCAGACGCAGCAGCAGACTCAAACGATGGGTCAGTGACAACAGTGGCAAGGAGACGCGTGACAGTAGAGTGCTCAGCACGAAACTGGTCAGACGCAGGGTCAGCGACGACAGGCAGAGAGGACGCAGGCGGAGACGGCAGAGGAACACGTGACGGAGGAGAGGGAGGACGACGGACTACAAGGTGAGGGCCGGGGACAGCCGGCTGACGCTGACAAGGAACACGACTACCGGAACGACCAGAACGGACAGGTGAGACAGGACGCGACGCAGGCTCACGACGTTCAGCAAGGCCCCCTGTCTGCTCAGTGTACGGAGAAGGAGCAGGCAGCGGTGAGCCAGGCTGTAACGGAAGACCAGTAGACGAGGGAAGACTGAGAACCTGGCGAAGTGCAGAGTCAGGTGGTGGTTGAGACAACGGAGACGGCGGAGCGAAGAACAGGCGCGGCTGAGCAGTGCCACCAGCACCAATAGCTCCATCACCTCCAGCAGCTCTAGCACCTCCAGCAGCTCCAGCACCCTCAGCAGCCCCTGTTACCTCAGCAGCTCCAGCACCGCCAGTAGCTCCAGGACCCTCAGCAGGTCCAGCACCTCCAGCAGCCCCAGTACCCTCAGCAGCTCGAGCACTACCAGCAGCTCCAGTACCCTCAGCAGCTCCAGTACCGCTAGTAGCTCCAGGACCCTCTGCAGCTCCAGTACCCTCAGTCACAACACCGCCAGCCCCAGCAGCTCCAGTACCCTCAGTACAAGCACCTCCGGGACCAGCGACACCAGCAGAAGAACCGCTAGCAGTAGAGCCCTGAGGTGCAGAAGCGCGACGCTGACGGCGACCGTACCAGTCGTGCAGCTGCTGGGAGGTGAGGGGCACACGCGGACGAAGACGGCTACTCCAAGGAGACCGCGTAAAAGCAGGCTCAGAACCCGCAGGCGACTCACCCCCAGACTCAGCACCCCCAGGCTCCACACGCTCAGCGCCCCCAGACTCAGCACCCCCAAGCTCCGCACCCCCAGGGACAGCACCACTCCCAGCAGGACCGGAGTCACCAGTGACCTCAACAGGCGCAGGCGCAGGGGGGTCTACCTGAGAGACACCTGAAGGAGCAGGACCTGGCGCGGGGAGGGGGTCTACCTGGGGAGGACCTGGGGCGAGAAAGAGCGGCGGGGGGGGGCGAGGAGCAGTGCGGTAGGGGAAGAGGCGGTAAAAGGGGACCGACTCGTCAAAGGTGACGTCCTGAGATGCAAAGACACGGCGCGAGGCGGGGTCATAAAACTGCCAGCCAGGCGCGTCAGGGACAAAGCCAAGGAAGACGCAAGGAATGGCGCGCGGGGAGAGCTTGTCCGCAGTGGTATCGCGGACAAAGGCACGAGCACCCCAGACCCGGAAACGCGACGCGTCGCCAACCTTCCCCGTCCACAGCAGTGGGGGCGAGGTCTCCGGCAAGGAGACACGGGGCCAAAGGTTGAGCTGATGCGCGGCGTACCGGACCGCAAACGGCCACAGAAAATGGGGGGCAGCCGCATGGATCATGGAGGTACGAGCGACCTCCATGACTAAGCCAATGCGGCGCTCAGCAACCCCATTCTGCTGCTGAGAGGCCGGAAGCGTGAATGTCTGGCGGATGCCGTGCTCCGCACAGAAGGCTGCCAAGAGGTCTGAGGAGAACTCACCACCTCGGTCAGTGTGCAGACGCAGGACAGGAAAGTCCGACTGGAACTGCTCGCGGAGCTGGAGACGAGCAGCGGGGATCCAGGGGATCAGAACAGCAAGGACATCCCCCTTGCGCTGCAAGGGGAAAACCGTGGTGTAACGCGTGTAGTCGTCGACAACCAGCAGGAAGTACCGCTCGTGGCCCTGTCCACGGACGCGGGCTGGGCCCCACACGTCCAGATGGAGAGTCTGCAGTGGAGCCTCTGTGGGAGGGAACGAGGAGGAGTGAGGAGCGGCGCGCTGCCGCCCCTCGACGCAAGGAATGTAGGGCAGCGCAGGCGAGGGAGGGAGGGCAGGCAGAGACCTGGGAAGACCAGAGACCAGGAAGCGAGAGTGCATGCTACGGAGGCGAGGCAGGGAGGGGTGACCAAGGCGGTGGTGCCACAGGAGAGTGTCGTGCGACAGCCGGCGACACTCACACTGTGTAGCTACCTGAGCAGACGCGTGTAACTGGGGAGACAAAGGGGCGGAGCGCGACGCAGTGGTGAGGGTGTACAGACTGGACCCTGGCGCACGAGTGAACGTGGCCAGGTGGCGGCCAGTCTGGGAGCACGTGCAAATCGCCACACGCTGTCAGCCAGGGGTGAAGGTGTCAACCCCTGCATCCTGGAGGACAGCGTTACTCACCAAGTTCGTAGAGAACGAGGGGAGGTGGAGACCAGACAGCTCACCAGACGGGACCGCCGGACACGGAAGCACAGTGGAAGACCGTGCAAGCACTGGGCCCCCAGAGGGGTCAGCCAGTGAGACAAGAACAGGTGCAGGGAGGGGAGTGATTGTGGTACTGTCGCGAAAGAAACAGCGGGAAGCACCAGAGTCAAGTTTAAAGGTGTGCAAGGCCTGTGCAGGCGCAGTACCAAGGGGAGCAGACTCACAATCACCTAGTGCTGCAGAGGCTATACCAGGGGCTACACCAGGATCCGGCGGCACACACAAGTAGCAGTCACCCTCAGCACTAACAGACAATACATACATAGCAGCAAGAATTGCCTCATAGTCAAGATCAAAGATAGGTACATCACGCCTAAGCAAGTCTGCCCAGTTGGGGAACTCTGGAGCATCAGGAAACTTGGCACGCCAGGCGTCGCTAAGCCGAGCGAAGCAGCGCTGCTCAGTGTGAAAACCTGTGCACTGGCGACCAGCGCGGGGACCTGTGCGGATGATATAGGGGCAGCGACCAGGACCCCCAGAAGCCCCACGCCCGGCATACCAGTCAAGAAGTTGCTGGGAAGTGGGGGTCTGGCGCTGACGCTGATGCTGCTGCTACTGCTGCTGCTGCTGCTGTTGGCCCTGACCACCACTGCCACCACCGCTCCCTCCTCCCCCACCGCCGCTGCTCCCCCCTCCACCGCTCCTAGTGCCTCCACCGCCCCC